TTATGCTGACGAGAGCTAGAGCGATTAAGGAAAAGCCTGGGCTAAGCGAGACAGGGATAAGCGTGGGATGACAACAAAGCCGCGTGCGCAAAGCGGAAGCTGCAAGTGCATGAGAGTGTAACGGGCTGAACGGCCTTCGCCGCTTCTTCTCGTCTACGACCTCGCTTACCCACATGCCTAGTCTAATTGTTGCTTAGGCAATATACTTTGTATATAGATAGCTCTATAGCCTAGACTATAGCTCTCTATCGAATATAATTTCTTGTATAACTACATACAAACAGCATCGTAACTCGCCCTCAAATCTAAGGACCCCATATAAATTACAGCCCAGGAGGCTTAAAGCGGCTTTTCCTTAGCAGGACACATTAATAAGGTGATACTAGGTTGTAACATGAGAGGTAGTTTTGGGCCCTTCGGCTCTATAGAAGCGCCGAAATGAGTTCTTATGTATAACTAGCTGGATCAGAAGCGATTGTTTTGCTATCACGCGCCAGACGAGATAGATAGAAGTAGTATTCTTAAGATACTCAAAAGAACTTATAAGAAAGCATCACTGGATTGCCCCAAACGAGTGTAATAGCGAAATCTATCCATCCTTTATCCCCGTTGCATCTAGTACTACCACAAACACGCGGTCTTGCTATGTATCTCTGATAGTGAGTTCTTTCTGTGATAGCCCTTCCATCACATCAGGAGTGCCATCACTGATGACGGTGTCTTAGCATGAGACAAATCATGTGATCCCTAACCCTGCGACAATCGCTGCCTCCAGCGGGATCCTAAGTGGTTTCTATATATTTGCGGTCAGCTTCAAGAGACGACATCATTCTACTTGTTACTTGTAACATACGCACTCAAAGTAATCATATTCTAGACTATTTACCTATCGTTTGCTCCCCGGAGCTCAGCCTATTACGTCCATCACTAGTTATGAGTCGAAAACACTCTAGTTACGTCATGATGGACTAAACTTCAAATATCACGTCTTTATTTAACGTGGCTCTATTTAATTGCCTTCAGCTCCTAGGTGACATTACGGGCGTTCTAAAAATAGGTACATCGACTCAAAGATTAGCTTATAGTGATTCTCCCGCCAAAGGTGCTAAATTTGGCTACGTCAAGGAAGAGCCGTATATTCGGCACTTGCGTGAAATCAATCGCTGCGCGCGAGCCTGAATTACCACCTAACGAAGATGTTATGTAGTGTGCGGCCAGCTGGCGCACAGAAAATTCGTCGCTTGAAAACTGATCTGGGTGAGTTACTTCCAAAGATTGTACACCCGCAACTGTGAGTAACCATTTCCTTAACCGACAGTGTTCTGCATATAGATGAAACAGCTGTCTTAGTGTTAATATAAAACCTAATGAACTGAGCAAAGCGCTGTGTGCTGCATCGCGAAACTTTCTTTTTATACACGTCGTAGTGAACGTTGGTTTTAGAGGAGAATGTGGTAGTGACACGAACAGTGGGTTTACTCTCACCATCCGTAGCACGTCCAATGGTGTCAGCCTGACTTCTTTGCAAAGACGGTCGCGCAAGGAAGGCACATACACCCACAAATCAACCGTACGATCTGGAACATCGTCTACCTTATACCAAGATCCTTTGATAGGATTAATAGACGCTTGCATT